ATATTATTCATACCTTCGGTGTATAGGACGCAAGCAGATTTTGACATCACATTTTAGGGTGAAAAAGTGCGTCTTATTCACTGAAAAATACGGTACATCTAATGCTGCAGCAAATGAAATAATTATTTTGCTGTTATGTGCAAAGCAACACACAATGGGATATCTAAACCGTGTTTCCTACAGGAATCAAACTCCAGATTTTAGTTTTATAAGTCTCAAGCTTACTTCTGAGTCACCACAAACCAGTGATTCTGTTTATTAAATGTTTTACTAAAATATTTATATCTTTTTGAAATAGAGTTCAATAAGTTTTGTTTTTTAATAACTAGGGAATAAACAAACTTAAGAAGGGACTGTGTAATTAATTTCTTTAGACCATTAAAACAAACAAAAAGTAACAAGAGGGAATCATCAATAGTCACGGTACATGAAATTCTTTTCGGTAGGATTAGAGGAAATTAATCTATGAGACCTTCCCCCCCCCCCTATATTTTTGTGCGCCAGCAATACCAAGCGTGAGGCACGCATATACCCGATTCGATTTTACTACTAATTAGGATCTTTACCAGCCTACCCTCAAATTGAAATTCTTTTGGTCAAATTTAGAGTAAATTATGAGATCTTGGGCGTGGTCAAATACATCAATCGCTTGAAAACGCTTGACCTCCTGAGTCCAAAACTGTAATTAGATCTCAAATCGGTTAAGAGATGAAGGAGCTATGAGCTAAAAGTTTGTACTTGAAAAAAAAATACTCAGAGACATTTAATGAACCGATCTGCCGCAGCTAAAAATGATGAGATTCAGTTTCCTATAAGTAAAATTTAATTTCTGCAGCTGTTAAAAAATGATAGAATCTAATAAATACGTGATGTAAAATCGTATAGAAAAGATAAAGAAGAAAGTTGTTCTTAGTGCAAAGCTACACAGCGGGCAATCTGCATTGTCCACCGCGGGGAATCGAACCTCGTACTCTAGCGTTGTAAGTTCGTAAACTTACCGTTGACAAAGGAGAAAGTATATTCAAATGTATTTCATCTATAGAGTATCATTAAAACTAATATATATTGTCATTCTGTTATTTTCTTGCAAATAAGTTTCCTATCTTTATGTTCCTATCCTATATTCTGGTGAAAATGTGCCTTACTACGAGAACAGGTCTATTTTATTTAAAATTATATTGTAGTAATTTATTAGTTTTGTTTCTATTTCATACTAATACTTTTTTCTATTCTTTAAATAAATCGTTAATGATTTTAGTAGCTTTATAATCAACAATTAATCACGCTTTTCAATTCCACTTCTTCGAGTTGAATAGTGTTAGAATTCCTCAAAAGGGAGCGCTGTTCGAAATGGGAATATTTTTGTTTTCGGAAGCTGAGCAAGACAGCTGAATTCACGGGCTAAGCAGCGCGAGGCTGGAGTCTTCTTGTGAAAGATCTTTTGATAGTTATACTGAAAATGTACAACAAGCTGCGTTCAAACTCTACTTTTTTGTTCAAACTCTGTCGTCATAGTTTGAGAGTATAGAAACAGTTAATAATATAATGGCTCGTTTGTTCTACCAACGAATTTATTAAGTGTATTTGAAAGTAAAAAAGATGGATTTAGTTAAATTTCAAAGGTACGGATTGCTTTTCTCGAAATAAGGACTGTGTCCAAAGCGGTAACTTTAATTAAAATCATGAGAGAGATCATCTTGTAGTTAAGAAAACACAACCATCGTGTTTTCTGTTTTGCTTTTTTTTTTGTAGACTTACCATTTAAGGTACCTATGATTTAAGTTTTATGAAAGTTTTAACACAGAATGTTCAGAATGGGGAAAAGGTTCTACGTTGGCCGCTAGCTCATACGTTCTCTTGGTCTCTGCTGGTAACGCACATTCTCGATGAAGTATCACTCCAGCAGTAGAAAATAATCTCTAACCTAGATGCTGTCATCATTAGCCTAGCTTAACCTGAGCCTATAGAAACAGTGGGTATAAAGCCGAGCCTGGCTACCTGTGAAGGTTTGCCTGGCTCGGCCATTGGTCACTCGGTTGCAGAAGACTATGGCTCTAGAACGGAAACGTCCTTCTGGACGCAGTGGTTCCCGTTTTGCCGAAAAGACTCCCGCGAACAAATGCAAGGCGTTCTGTCGCAAGTTCACAGCTTTCACGTTCTCCCACGTCGGTTTGTGCGGACTGGTGGTTGGATACAGCATCATGGGTGCTTTCGCTTTCCGGGCGCTCGAGGCTCCCTACGAGGAGGAGAAGGCTGGAGAGGTCATAGATATGAGGCAGAAAACGGTGAAGCGTCTGTGGGACATCACATACGACTTAAACGTGCTGTATAAGGACAACTGGACTCGTCTTGTAACGGCAGAAATAAAACGGTTTCAGGCAGACTTAATAGAAGCTGTTAAAGACGGGTACGACGGCAAAGAATTGGGAGAGGTCCAACAGTGGTCTTTTTCCGGAGCGTTTCTCTACTCTCTCACCGTCATTACCACAATAGGTAAGTTGGTAACCCTATTACTCGATATCTACTGTCCGGTGAACTTCATGTAACATGACAAACACAAGTTATTATAGGACACTATAGGTACTGTAGGATATCTGAATAAATGTTATAGATTTGTCACTTCCATTAAGTTCTGAATGCCATAAAAAATCCAATGCACTTGTCCAACAGTGTAAACAGACAAAATACGACAAAACAACAATAGTGTAAATAGACAGAATAAAACAAAACAACAATAGTGTAAACAGACAGAATAAAACAAAATAACAATAGTTTAAATAGACAAAATAAGATAAAGCAACAATGTTGTAAAATAACAAAATAAAACAAAACAACAATAGTGTAAACAAACAGAATAAAACAACACAATAGTAGTTAATTGTAGACTTGTTTATTAGTATTCTACTAACGTTATAGAAACACCAGATAAGCAGTATTACAAATTAAACTAAACGTATTTATTTCAGAATCTTTCGCAAACATATTCAGTACATTTGAAAAGAAAGGAAAACTATTTTTCGTCCTCTTGGACTGTTTGATGTTCTGTTATTAATAAGTATGTTGTTCAAATCAAATACATTTTACTAAAGTTTGGGTATCCTATAAATCCCTTCAGTGAAATGTGGATATCATAATGGTTATAAAATATTCAATTTGAAAGCATGTATCCTTTTCTTGCCAAGCCGGGTTTTAACGCTAAAATTATAGAAGCTCATTGCTTTATATTCATATCATGATTATACATTTACATCCCACGTAGATAGTTACATTAAGCCTAATAGTAATGGAGGTGGTCACAATAAGGGATTCCAAATGGCTGACTTCTTAGGCATTCTAGTGGTCACAATAAAAGATTTCTAATGGCCGACCAGTTAGACAATGGAAATATTTATATAAACTGTTCCTAATTACCGATCAAGTTAAATTAAGCATTTAGATGGTCACAGCAAAGGATTTGTAACGATTATCCAGTTACAAAAAAAGACCCCTAATGGCCAGTCACTTAGACATGGAGGTGGCTACAAAGGATTTGTAATGACCAACCAATTAGATATGTAAGTGGTCACAAAATATTAGTAATGACCAACCAGTTAGACATGGAGGGGGCCACAAAGGAATTGTAATGACCAACCAGTTAGACATGAAGGTGGTCACAAAATATTTGTAATGACCAACCAGTTAGGCATGTGAATGGTTACATAAAAGACTATTAATGATCAACCAGTTAAACATGGAGGTGACCACAAAGGGTTTATAATGATC